CAAAGCCGACCGCGGGGCAATTACGCCCCCCGGCTATGAAGCACCCCCCAATTTTTTGTGGAGGGAGGTACGGGTCAAGCCTACGGAATTCTTTCATTCAAGCATCCCGTCAACCAGAGCCCGTGTGTAGCCGGGTTGTTTGGGGTGCCGCTTGACGGGCGAAACCGGAAGCGGGGCGACCAGGTGTGGAGGTGGCAGATTGGCATCTCTGCGGAGTCTCGGGCAAGACAATCTCCAATTTCCCAACCCGCCACAGTAGGAACATGGCTTGCCGGTAAAGATATTGGGATCACTCGGACCTCGGTTGCCCTTCCTGATGTTGTTGATTGCTGCTGCAATGTCCTCAATGGTTTGGTGGCTGGGTCGTCCAACATTTTGTTGGCAATTGGGGTTGTTTGTTGAAGATGGTGGTTGGGAACCCGGGTTGGCCTGTTGAAAAGGGTTTCGTCGGGGAGGACAAATTGGATTTTGAGTCAATGTACTCCAATGGGTTTGGTTGGGCCAGGTGCGAAAGACAGAGATGTTTGACGATGGTGATGAGTGAAAGCAAAGAGATTCTCCATACGCCAATGTAATGACAGTTTGAATATCGCAGGCCGTGACGTCTGGCTTCTTGCCAAGTTGGAGGGATATGTTCTGGAAGAGTTGGGGCCGAGACATCGACGATGGTGCAGGAACAACGGCTTGTAGAATGAGACTCTCAACCAGAGGTGAGAGACCCGCACCAACCTTGTGTAAGCCGGCGAAGGTCTCAAAGATCTTGTTGAATAGCCCGGGAATTTGTCAGGGCTCGGTGGATGGACCGGAGACTCGGAATTTGAGTAGCTTGTCGATGGGTTCCATCTGACGGAATCGAACTGTGCCTTGGAAATTGGTTTGGACGGCATCATAGGCTTCAGTGCCTTTGGTGTATTGGTCAACGAGAGAGGCAAGTTCATCGTGGATCATGATTTGTATAAGGAATAATAAACATGTATTCTCCTGGTCTGATAGCTTGGAATAGTTGTCCAACTTGTCGAAAAAATTTGGGTGACTGAGAGTGAGGAGAACAATTTGTGTGAGTCCCCGTTTCCACTTGTCGAAATTGGACCCATTGGCGGTGAGTTGCTCAACGTCCTGTTTGTAAATGCTAGGCTGTTGTAAAAATTTGGCACAAGGTGTGATGTCGGACGATGTCGATGTCAACATTGGGGTAGACTGTTCAATCGGAGATGTTTTTCAAATGGGAAGGGAGATTGCCTGGGATTGCTGCGTGAGGAATTGGGAATAAAGTTGTTGTTGATGGTTGAGCCAAGGGGTGCGTTACATGGAAGGTCGGGGATATTTGGGTCTACGCCAGAGATACTGAAGTTGCTCAGTTGCTCAATAAGCGAACTGAGCTGTCCAGGTGGGTGATTGTCTGTGGGGTTCTGAGAAGGTGGAGTTGGTGGGGGTGATGGTGGGAGTGCTGGAAGTTTTGATAGTCGGCAAAAATCAAGTTTTTGTCGTCGTTCAAGGATGGAAACCGGTTTTCAATGTTGGGTTGGAGGAGGTAATGGGCCAAAAAGTATATCCTTTGTCAAACGGCGGGTATGTACCATAAAAGGCTCGATGTGTCGGCTAGTCGTTGGGTAGAGCAGTGTACTCTTAATCTGTTGTAGTTGGAATGCCTGGTGTTCATTGCTTCTCCCCCACTTCCCCCTTATATTCTTCATACTCCAAATGTGGAGTTTTCTCACCCATACAACAATATGTGTCCGTAGAGGTGTAACTTTGAATCCGTGAGGGTTCCAAGGATGCGTCCAGTGGTGACCTAGGCTGAAATTGTCCGTAGAGTCCATTTCTCAAGTCGTATAGGTTGATTTCTGAGTGAATGTATGAGAAAAATGTGTATAAGGAAAAAACTTTGAATTTTTTACATATTTAATTACCACACCATATTGGATTGGTCCGGTTTCACCGTTGCTAGAACCAAAACTAAAACAATCAAGAGTTAGAATGAAAAACATAAGAAAAAGAGAGAAATGTTGAGCATACCATGACAAGAGTTGTATTTTATAGGAAGAAGAACTGTGAGACTGAGGTACAATAGAGACAAGTAGTAGGAACTGATAACAAGAAAAGAAAAAAGGTCAATAATCATCTGAGATCAAGAGTGAAAGATTGAGAGAGAATGATTCAATTGGACTATTCTTTCTCACCAAATTGGCAATAGCCACATGGGAATATTGAGAGAAAGAGTCAGAGCAATGACAAGGGAAGAAGTGCAATCACTGTAGAGGTTGAGACGTCATCAAGATCAATATGATTGATTGATAAGAGCAAATAGAGAGAGGAAGTATAGAAGGAAAAAGGAGATGATACAGAGTTGGAATGGGAAATATAGGAGAGGAATGGTGAAGGAGTTTATGGGAGTAGATCGACGGAGTTGATAAAGTTGATCAGTGAAAGGATTTGGTCAAATGTCTTGAGTCAAGAGGCAAAGGACTGCTGAGGGAAGAGTTTCTGGATCGATTGGATCAAGCCTTTTTATATTGTTTAGAGTGGAGGGCTGAGGTGTGGTTTCTTGAGATGATACATGTTGGAGGCTGGGTTGTTGTAGGAACCTGTGAGGCTGAGTTGTTGTGTGTACAAGAGGCGGTGTGAGGCAGTGTATTTTATGGATGGGAAACAGATAGAGCTAGAGAAGAAAAAAGAAGAAAAGAGAGAAAATAGGGACACAGGAGTAAGGAGCGGGGAGAATTCCAACAGAAGGAACCCCTCCCTGTTGTAGTTGGGGTA